GGACAACCATTGGCTGCTGCTACCAGCAATCACCGCGGGTCTGGTCCTTGGCCTCTACAACACCCTGGGCTTTCAAAAAAAAAAAAAAAAAAAAAAAAAAGGATCTTCTGCTAGAAAGTGGAATAATATGTCGACATATGTTTTGTCTTTTGTGCATGTGGTGAGTAGAGGCCCACGGCCTGCCTGAGTGGACGAGGCAGAAGGGCGATGATGTGACGTCTATCTGGACGCTGCAGTTTGTTGTTGTTGCACATTGTGTCCTCCGTGAGAGTAAAGCCTCGCACATTGTGCTATTTTGTATATGAAGTGTACTGTCTGCTTTCAAATGTCAAGGCCTGGAACCTTTCCGAATTTTTATTGCTCTGCTGCAGCTTGGGCCTTTGAGCCATGACTTTTCGATTTTGGCATATGATTTTGATTGTGGACTGTGACTCCGGCCACTAGGACACAAATATGGCCTATGGAACTGCCCTTTACTCATGGGATGTGACTCTTCAATACGATTTTTCATTATCAAACGTGATTTTTGCCCCTAAGATGTGACTATTTGCTGGGTGCCTGTTGGACTAGACTACTAAGGTACCCGACTATGACCTTTCTGAAATTGACTAACTCGACCCTTTCTTGGCCACGGCCTCTGGGGTCTGAATCGTGGAAGGCCTTTCAACATGTGGTGAGTAGAGGCCCTTAGGGCCACTACACGTATTCCTAAGAAAAGAAAAACAAGAAAAAACAAAAGAACAATGAGAAAACAAAAAAAAAACGAGAAAGCAAAAGACAAACGAGAAACAAAAGAAAAACAAGAAAACAGAGAATTAGTGACCCATAATTGTGATGCACAAAGTGCCAAAGACCTGAATTCGAATCCAGACTTATATATTTTCGGCCCACACAGGCAGTCTACAAGTCTAATGTCCATCTCTGCTCCATAAGGGGTTCTTGCTAATCCATAGGGGCCCTTCGGAAATGAAACTAGACAAATAGATTAAACATTTAAAAAAAAAAAAAAAAAAAAGGACATGCACTCACATGCACACACATGTGCTCATAGTGTTGGGGGATAGGGTGACCCCAACTTTTTTCCTCTTGCAGTCTGATTTTCGGGATGGAGGGGCATTTTTCACCACCCCACCCTGTTAATAGGGGTCATTTTTTTTTTTTTTCCTCTTATTTTTAGTGTTTGGGCGAGTAGGGCCATGTGACAAAGGCCCAACGTGCCCATCCCTTGTTTTCGAATTTATGGGAGACCCCCATTTTTTCATTAAATGGGATTTAATGAGGCCCCTGTGGCAATTCGACGGGGATCAATGGAATGTAACAGTTCCCGTTGCCCGTTGTTCGGACACACAACTTTTCGTTATAGTTGTAGCCGCCCAACTCCACCTTCTACCTTCGTGCAAACCTCCATCTCCTCCAACTGCTCCAATTCTAATTAAACCTAGATGGCACATCTTTAGGAGGAACAAAACCTCCATAGCCTTAGTTATGGCTGACCTGTTCCTTCTTCAGCGGATCCTCCTTCAACCTTGCAGACCACTAACAAAACCACCAGTAGCTTCTACCTCAACACTGCAGACCTCCAACACTCCTTTCCACCGTCTTATCGCTGCCTCAAACTCCTTAAGGTCAAGTACCACACCTCAAGGCTCATCGTATACCCATAGCCTTGTGTTATGCTAAACCATCGTTTCAGTGTGTCTTACTTGAGTTCAACCCCTTCTAATATAGCCAATAACTTGGTTGCCCCAACATCATTTCAGTTATGGGTTCGTGCATCTTAGTTCCAACTACTAAGTCCCGAATTCATTTTTGGCCTGCCACTTTTCACCTTCTCCTTCACCCTCTGCTGAAATCACGGAGCAACAGTTGTAACCTCATGTTGCAGCCGATAACTTCTATGCCCACATCTTGTCCGCCTTGTTTGACATATATACACTTTTCTCTACAGTCCATGCATCCCACGATGAGGGCCTAAAGATGTCTCATCTGGCTTTAGTGCCAAGGTTGTAAAGCAGTCTCTCATTAAAAATGAAGGTTAGCTCAAACTCTATAGATTAAGCACCCCCTCGGAGCTCAATCTAACGAGGATAAATTAGACCCTCCGCTATTTGACGGTTCAAGGACATTAAAATTAAAAACTGTCATTTCGTCAAAATGGACATCTTTTATTTTTTGAACGAAATTGAAACTGAGTTTTTTGGCCCAAAACTAGTCCAAATTTGTTGTTCTTGAGGGTCCGACATTTGTAAAACGCTGGACCCTCAGAAACAACAAATTTTGACGAGTTTTCGATAAAAAATCTCGGTTTCAATTTTATTCAAAAAATAAAAAATGTCCATTTTGACGAAATGGTCGTTTAAAGGCTTCATTCGTTGAAGTCTGATCTGCTGCTTGCAAGCAATAGGCTATCCAACCCTTAAAAAAGGTTGAGTTGCACCACCTTGCCGTGGTTATGGGTTGAAGAATTCCCAGCGACGATTTTTTTTGACATTTTGGTTTTTGCTGAATTTCTCCCAACTTAAAAATGGCTGCATCTAAGTCATGGACAACCATTGGCTGCCTTTTTTCTGTTTAGTGC